GCGTCACAAAACCCCTGTATGTAGGCAACCGACAGTGCATCCCCACCCCCCTGTCAGCCGGACCTTAATCCGCCACTGCTTAAAGTGGCACATTTTTCGCACTCTGCACTGTTGCCCCGCAGGCTACCGCAGGCTCTGGTGCGCCTGGCGGTGCTCGCGGGCGGTGCCTGGCGCCTGGCCATGAGGGCGCGCCTGCCCCGCCTGCTGCTCGCGGCCCTGTGCTGCGCGCTGTGCCCGCGGCCGGCCCTCTGCGCCACCGCGGCCGCCGCCGAGCCCTTCGACACGCGCCAGGTGGCCCTGGACGAGGCGGACCGCATCCCCGGCCTGGGCAGCCTCCGCGGCTCTCGCACGCAGTCCTACTGGAAGCGCCGGCCCGTCTACCAGTACCAGGCCATCCCTTACGCCGAGCCCACCAGCGGCCCGAAGAGGTTCCTGGTATGCCATCGCGTCAACCTGAGGGTTCTCGAGGGACACTTCACTATAAATTCAAGCATACACCGATTTTTTCCTTGATTTTTTTCCTTACAATTTTCTTGATTTTCCACGATTTTTGTTTCTGATATTGTTATATTTTTTTTTGGACGGTGTACGTGTACACCTTGGTGTATGCTGATTTTTGTGAATGAAGTGTCCCTCGGGGTGCTCCCGCGGTGAACCTTCGTTGAGAAGACGGGAGGGAACGTTGGGCGCGATCTTTCTCCCGCCCGGAGCGGAGCGTCTGCCAGGCGCGGTATAAGGGGGATCGTCTCTTGTGAGCCGCCCGAAAGGTAGGCAATTTGTGCTACAAAGCCCCTGTATGTAGGCAGCCCACAGTACATCGCCCCCCTTGTCGCCCCCTCCTTATACCGCGCCTGGCGTCTGCTCGAGGGCGCTGGGCGGCGCTGGGCAGGCCGCCGGCCCCACACGGCTGCCTGGCGGGCTGGCCTACCCAGCGCGTGGCAGGCGTTGGCTCCGGTAACGTTTCATGGAGGAGTCCTTTAAATGCCCGCCTTTCCCTCGGGTGGCACTTGCACTACAGACGTAACAGTGTACTTTGTCCACACAAGGAAGAGCCGATCATGTTAAGTACGCACACTTGCATGTTTGTGCTTGCAAGTCGACTCTTCCTTGTGTGTACTAAGTACACTGTTGTGTACTAAGTACACTGTTGGCTTTGCAGTGTGTTGTTGACAACTTTCTTGTATCTTTTTCCCGAGATGGCAATTCAAGGACGTTAAGACTTGTGTAAACAGGAAAATGCTAAATGTGTCACTTTCGAGTCCCCGTCATCTGTACCGGGTATTTTCCTTTGGATGCGCTTCAGCGTAGTGAATATGGCGAGGGGGGCAACAACTCCGGGAACCATGTGTACACCTGCCTGGAAATCATCAGGATAAAAATTAATCGAAACCAACATAAATTGCGTAAACGATGCCGGAAACTAGAGGAAGTGATACAAATTAGTCGAAATAGGCGTTTTCTGCCACTAGGAAACCTAAGGAATGATTATAATCGGACGGGAATCACTTGGAATCAAGAATTTCGGGAATCATGCGTACACTTCAAAAGGGAGTTGTTGCCCCCTCGAAAAATGCATATTGCTAGCGCCGCAGGGGCCTTTGGCATCTTGCTGGCGAAGGGTTATACACGGTAACCCGGTACAGTGGAGGGCATTCAAAGAACCACCCGGCGTGTCCGGTCACCCCTATGTGCCCGCAGCCCCCAGAGCCGGCCGCGCCATGGACGGGCGTGCTGGACGCCACGGCGCTCGGCAGGCGCTGCCCGCAGGAGTGGGAGCCCCTCAGCAAGCAGACCGCGGCCCCCCCAGAGCCGCCCGGCGGCGACATCGAGGACTGCCTCACGCTCAACGTGTACGCGCCAGTGGTGAGCTGCTTCGGTTCCGTTCGGTTATTCCATCTCCCATAAACCTCTTCAATTTGTTTCTATTGCCGTAAATAAATGTAAATGTGACTCCCCTGCGCAGCGCCCGTCGACGCGGTGCGACCGCCTGCTCCCCGTCATGTTCTACATCCACGGGGGGTCCTGGCGCGTGGGCAGCGCCAAGGACTTCGCGCCGCACTACCTCCTCGACAGGGACGTCCTGCTGGTGGTGATCCAGTATCGGCTCGG